ATTATAATTCCAATTTTAGCTTGTTGAGGAAACTCCACACTGTTGTCCACAGTGGCTGCCCCAGTCTGCATTCCCACCAACAGTGCACTAGGGCTCCCTTTTCTCCACAGCCTCTCCAACACTTGTTGTTTGTTGATTTGGTTGTGGCAACCATTCTTAGAGGTGTGAAGTAAGTGGTGTCTCGTTGTGCTTTTAATCAGCATCTCTCTGGTGGCCAGTGATGCTGAGCATCCTGTCACATCTCTCTGAGCTCTGTGTGTCCTCCTTGGAGAAGTGTCTTTTCAGGCCCTTTGCCCGTTTTTTAACTGTGTTGTTTGTCTTCCTGGTGTGAAGTCCTGTGAGTTCTTTATGCATTTTGCAGATCGAACCCTTGTCTGAGGTATCATTGAGAAATGTATTTCCCCATACACTTGGATCTTTTTTCATTTTGTTGGTGCTTTCTTTATCCATGCAGAAGCTTTCTAATTTGATGAGACCCCATTTATTTATTCTCTCATTTATGTGCCTTGCTCTAGGGGACACATCAGTGAGGATGCTGCTGCCTGTGGTACCTGAGATTCTCCTGCCCATGTTCTCCTCCAGGACTTTGATGGTGTCGTGATTTATATTTAAGTCTCTCATCCACCCTGAGTTTATTTTGTGTGCGGTGTAAGTTGGTGGTCGAGTTTCAGTTTTTTGCACGTGGCTGTCCAGATCTCCCAACACCATTTGTAGAAGAGGCTATTTTTACTCCATTCTATACTTCTTCCCCCTTTGTTGAATATTAATTGACTGTAGAGACTTGAGTTGATTTCTGGGCTCTCTATCCTGTCCCATCCACCTATGTGTCTGCTCTTACGCCAGCACCAGATGAAGCCGAAGGAGGGCAGGACAGAGGGTGGGAGGGGGTGGTGCGGGGGAGAGTGGGGGGGTGGGGACAACTGTACTTGAACAACAATAAAAACAAAGATTATATTATAGTTAACAGAACTCTTAATTTAACAGAGAATCTGGCACAGGAACAAAAACCAGCAGGTGACTGCTGTCACAGGTCAACTCAGTCCATATTTCATGAGGCACTTCCGGTGGGCCAGGCACCACTCGGGGCACCGAGGGTCCGTGGGACAGTGCAGTGGACTGAGTCCCTGCCCACGTGGGGTCGTGTGAGCACACACACTCAGCACCCACAGGGAATAAGCGAGTGCGAGGAGAGCGCCAGGCTCTGGGAGGGACGGAGGCCCCTCGGGCGGTCGGGCGGGGCCCGTGGGGTGGGGGCGTCCCAGCAGGGCTGAGAGCTGGTGAGTTCTAAAGCCGACTGGATCTCATTATGAAAGGTGACGAGCGCCCCATCGGAGCCGAGGACAAAGGCGGCTGTGGGAGGAAGACTGCGGGCCATTCAGGGAATCCCGCGGTTCTTTCGGTTACTTTTACTGAGCTTCACCGCTGCCGGGGCCCAGCGTCACGGTCCCCGCTCCGCCGCAAACTGGCTCTGACTGAACTGGCTTCCGCTTCTCCCCACCAGCCCCGTTTTGTTGGTCAGGGCAGCGTCGGGTACCAGGCCAGGGAGCCACCTGAGGTGCCATCTGAACAAAGGAATGAAAGGGTGAGGGCGGCCACGAGTCCCGGAGACCAGAGAAGGACAGAGCAGAGGGACGGTCCCAGTGCCAGTGACAGATGATGACGAGGGACATCAGGAAACAGGTGAATGTGTGCCTTTGAGGAGGCGGCACAGAACAGCTGTGCTTCTGGGAACGTCACTGCGTGTGGACATCAGAGAGGAGGCGCGGGAGGCCCCGCCCCATCCGGCCGGCGTGGCTGCGTGGGTCCCGGTGCCACCGGCCACCGCCTGGACCACGAATCCGCATGGTGTCTGGAGCCCGCAGCAGGTGCTTCGCAGCAACACAACCACAAATGCACCAACAGGAAGCTCAAAGTCCCCAAGTTCATTGCTAGAGCCGCAGACAGAGCCACAGCTTCACCTGGTCCTCCGAACTGGGAAGACGGCAGTGACACCTGCAGAAAGCCTGTGCACGCCCGTACGGGGTCGGCGGAAGTGACGCTGGCTTGGGTGTGGCCGGAAGAGTGACGAGATGGGTGCAGTAGCCTACAGTTTTAATTTGAACACTTCACCTAACATGTCACGTGCCGTGCTTGAGTGTGATACTGTTGTGTTACACAGTTCCAGGCTGATGATTTTGTAACAAAAAAGGGGCATTATTTGGGCCAGACCCTGTATGTGTTAAACACACACACATACCTTTCACTCAAACTTGAAAAATAGATAAGGGAGCCTGAATTTATATTCTATATAAATATATGATCATAAATTCCCTCAACTGCCTTTGCAAAGTAATAGAGTGTTGTTCATTGGCTAAAGGGTTTTTATATTGATTTTCATCATTAGATTTCTCATGACCAACAGCTCAGTACTATGAGGTGATTACGACAGTCATCTCTCTAAAACCCTCTCCGGGGAGGTAAGAAGTTTTCCTTTTGTGTCCATGTTTCAAGCAATTATTCTCTCTCGATTTCACCCTTTACCATTTACACTGGACCCTAAACGATGCCCGCCCTTCGCTAGCACCCAGGGCACCGCGAGCGTTTCCCTGCCGCCTTCGAAATGAAGACCTTTGTTTTCAATCAGGAGTTTTCCCCTCCACGCTCATCAAGAGGAACCACGTGACCGAGTCCTGTGCAGCCATAACAGACATGAACAAAATTCTCCCAACAGAACCACTTCTAGTGATTGCAATTTAGGAAAATATGTTTCCGACCCCCAATCTTTCAACAATCAAAGCAAGAACATCAGTGTAGCTTTTGTGATGAGCTTCTAAAAGCTGTAATGTTCAGGACAGTCGCTAATTGTGTTTGGGCACAAATGAAATGGAAAAGCATCTGCACAGTTCAGATCAAAGATCAGAAAGGGCCTTGCGGTAAGGCCGACATTTCGCCGGAACAGGCCCGGCGCACAGGCGCACAGCCAGCCTGGAGACGCTGGGCTGAGCGGTCACGTGTCACACAGTCTGAGTGATGGTTCTCTGAAAGGCCGGCGGCTGTTTGTGTTTATCAGGGCGAGCTTCAAATGCCCTCAGCTTTCTGGGTACTTACATCCCTCCGAGATCAAACTGGTTCGCATATTGTTAAATTTCAAACGATGAGAGATAAAAAATCAGAGCTGTAAATCACATAGAGAGCAGTTACAGCTAACTGCGGGCCACTCCGCGGCACCTTCTGCATAAAGCATCAACAATAATGGGAAGAACTTCTGCTTCATCCTGGGGGCTGGGACGGGCTGGCTTTACCTCGATGGAAAGGCGACGTCCCGGGCAGGTCAGCGCTCCTCCGGAGCAAAGCCTCCGGGTCTGACCCCTGGGGACACTTGCTGACTCCACCTCTCACCCAGCCCCCGCCCAGGGGAGCTGGGGCCCTGGCCTGTGAGGTCTCCCACTTTGCTCTGTTCTCTCGCTCCCCTTGTGCGGCTTTCGGATTTGAAATAGAAACGCCAGCGTAGGTGAACCACGAACAGTTCCTCCACTGGGGCGACCAGGGCAGGGTCCAGACTAGCCACGTCGGACACACCACAGAACAGGCTGTACCGGGACTGACCAGCGGGCGAGGCCCCCAGGAGCGCCCCACCCGCTGCGGGGTCCACGATCCCATCGGCGGCTCTACACAGTAACCCAGTGGGAGGGGCCTGAACAGAAGTCCCTTCGGGCGCGTGATGACTTTTCTGGGTGCACAGGGACGTGAAAGGAAGCGCGGCCAGCCTCGGGACCCTGAGCTGCCTGGCAGGCCAGAGAGGCGCTGACCAGTGGGAAGATGTCTCGCGTCCCCACAAGGGTGGGCTTCGTGCCTGTGTCTGTTTATGAGGACATCTGTGCACCAGGAAGAGCCCTCCAAGGGGATGTGGAAGGACACGGAGGGCACCTGTGTCCCCTGCGGTTGTCCCCAGAACCCCTCCCCCAAGCTACCGCACCTGTGGCCGAGCTCCGCAGACCAGTCCGGGGCCCTCGCAGATGCTGACTATAGAGGGTCGCTCCTGCCCGGGGAGTCGGCGGCGCGTCCTGACCTCCCCTCCTCCACGTCAGGACACGGGCTGTGAAAGAGCGCAGGCACCTCTGCCAGACCAGGGGTCCCGGCCGGGGGTCCTGGCCAGACGTTCTGCAGGGGCGGGGGGCAAGGGGGGGACAAGAGGCGATGTGCCACAGGGAAAACACACTGTGTGTTACTATGGTGGGTGCCCATCCTTACCTGCTTGTCCAAATCCACAGGGCGCAGCACCAAGAAGGAAGCGAAGGTGCAGGAGGAGCGCTGGGCTCCTGCCTCTGTCGGAACACAGCTGCGGTCTGGTGAGTGACCGGGCTGGGGGTGCCTGTGGGGGACAGGTGTGCGGGACACCCCTCACCTGCTCTCCGGTTCGCTGGGGCCCTGAAACTGCTCTTCACACAGAAGAGACATGTACCTCACAGCAAAGGGGCAACGGGAGGGTGTGATATGGCCCGGACCCTCCTCGGTAGGTCCAGGGAGTCCGGAGGGACGTGGAAGGAGGCCGAGGCCCTAAGTGACTGGATGGGGCAAGTTATGTTCATTCAGTCCTACCTCCGCCCCTATACGTCCTCACGCTTCTATAATGCGGTGAACTAGAAACACCCGCATTATACCACACCGAACGATAGGAATAGAACATCACGGGAAGCCAATTTATTTATATTTTAAGTAATCAATTTATCAGACAAATGCAAAATACAAGTGCTCTCTGGCATCTAGCTAGTCACATAAGATCACAGTCGTGCTGACCACAATCGTAAACGAAAATGTGTTCAGATGGAATGGTTATTCGTGAGGAACGTACATCTGGATGATGGCTTTCTGGGTGGCATGTTCCAGGTGTCCACAGACGCAGGTGACGACCGATACACAGCTCTCAGCAGGAAGTGGGGTGACTATTCCAGGAATGAAACCACAAGGTGGGAACAAACACTTTTGGAGATTTCCCACCTGTGTCAGCTTTTAGCAACTTTTTAATAGATAGCATAGACTCCGTGTCCCCCATAGAATGACGGACGCCAGCAACCGTGTCTGTAGCCTCCATAGCCACGTCCAGAGCCGTAGCCCAGGCCACCAAAGGCACCGTAGCCGTAGCCCAGGCCTCCATAGTAGCTGCCATAGTAGCTCATGGTGTCAGTGGGGTGAGTGTGTCTGCTGCTCAAGACAAGACCCTGAGTGTGTCTGTCAGGGAGTGTGCAGGGGCACTTATATACCCTGTGCAGAGCGTGCGGTCGAACACGTGCCTCCTTCACTGCGTCTTTTGGTGCGATCTCAGCTGATGCAATCCCAGCATCTGAGGGTGACGTCTCCAGTCTCATTAAAGTGTCTCTGCTCACACTGGTGCCCTTAAACGTATCGCATCTCTTTTATGAGAAGAAATTGCTGCATCTTCAAAGCCTGGACATACCAGGCTGCTGGTGTTCCTCCTGGCCGAGCGCATTGCGTAACACGCTGGCACATTCGAGAGCTGAGTTTTAAAACTGAGTATTGCCTCACCTGTGGGTTTACTTGTGTTGTTATGCCGCACTGAGGGGTAAATGAAACAGGCCGCCCAAATCCAGGCGAGAATGAATCCTGTGCTTTCAAAGGCCCCCGACACTTCTGGGTGTGGCTGCTTTTCACAGCCCAGACCCGGGAGAGGCTGAGGCCCCCACCCGCCCACTGTGAACACGCAGACAGAACTTCAGGAGGAAACGCGGAAATACAACCGTCCTTTTCTGTTATTCAGTAACATTGTCAATCACCAACAATATCCTCTTTTTGCTTTTACATACTAGTTTGGAAAATAAAAAGTATTCGGATCACTACCATGGGGTGATCAAGTTCAGATCTGAAAGGCAGGTTACAGTGATCAAGCACCTATTTTAAAGCAGCCTACAAACTGTTCCAAACCCTGTTCCCACATCCTCACTCCTGGCTGGCACATGCCCTGTTCACCACGTGCGCCACCAAAAGTGGAGAGCACACTGCTCCCCGTGGTCCCGAGGGCCCAGTCCTGCCTCCCCCACCCAGGACCCGGAGACCAGCCCTGGAATTCAGTCTGTTCCCACGTGTCCCTGGGCCCCTCCCACCCTCACAGGCTGGGGACAAGGGCTGGCAGAGAACCAGCTACACTCTCTCTAGGCCTCGAGGGCTTCTCTGTCACCCCTGCGGACACACAGTTGCATCCGCCTCCCCTCCCACCACAGTCCTGCCACCTCCGCGTCCTCTTCCCCTGTTGTGTGCTCATTTGCTGCTTTCCAAAAATAGTGAACTAGTCTACTCAAATATTAAATATTCACCTGGATCTTTGATGTCGAAGTGTATGTCATCTCCCGGGGCGGGCTCACCTGGGCGCCTGGACCTCCGGGGCTGTGCTCTCCCGAGAGAGCAAAGCGCCATCCAGGTCGTGAGGCTGCGACGCAGGACCTGCCCTGCACTGGGCAGAGGCCCCCAGAGCAGTGATTTCCCATCACGATGGTCCGGTCTCTCTGCGGCACCGCGGGAGGGGCGAACGCCTTATCCAAGGAGCTCTGGCCGCTGTTCTCCTTCCTGGAGCCTTCCCTGTGCTCAGGGAGACAGGCTGTCGCCCATTAAACACACGACGGTTTCGTCGGGATCCAGCAGACTAAGAAGAAAGCAGGGGTGGGCAAAAATAGATCGACAGTAATAACCATCAAGAACACAGCAACTCATAACTAATGATTCCAGAATGAACCGTGTTCTGCATACTCACAACTGAAGACCTGCTCTTGCCCTGGTGGTTAGTTATCGGGTGGACTCCAGTTCTTCTCTGGCCTGGGCATCTCAGAGGTGACCCACAGCAGTGCGTGGACACCCCCAGGGTCCACCTCTCACCCTCCCCCCCCAGCCGACAGAGCAAATCTGTCCTTAGGTTTAGTGAACAACTCTCAGTGTTTGAAATCCTTCGTAATGTTTTATGGCACTTGAACTCCACACTGTTTATTAGTTCCTTTTTTTCTGGTCCTGCTAAGCTAGAAATTCATAAATGAAAGATTCTAAATAACCTCGAGCACTGCTCTGCAAAGCCAGGGGATGAACATGAGGGCGGGAGGATCCTTGGTGCTCGGCACTGATGTCCCTGGGGTGCAGGGACAGACGCACAACCAAACTGTAGCGCTATCTGTCCAGGAGGAATCCCGGAGGGATACACAGTGCATGGGGCCACAATGTCATTAAACAAATAGACGACTAAAGCCACGGTGCCACTTCAACAAAGGCTAATTTGTTGCAAAGGGAAAAGAAAACGTGCCCGTGGTGACAGTGCAGAGTGAGGGACCCGGAGACGCAGCACCAAGCAGACGTGAGACCACAGGTGGTCTGGAGACCCACGATGCTGAAGGTGTTGATCCGGGCTCCGCCCCGCTCACCTTGCTTCTTGCAGATTCTGGATAATTTGACTAATCGTCTCAGAGCCTCAGACCAGGGGCTCCCAGGATGGGGTTTCAGTGCAAACCGGAGAATCTGCCTTCTGCACGGGGCTGCGGAGCAGACTGACACCCACCCTCACACTGAAGGCAGGGGTCTGCCTGGTGCCAAGCACCCAACAAAAAAGCATCTGACTTTCAGCCACAACAAGAATGGAAACATTCATGTTATTTATGAAAAGCCAAAAGGCAAGAAAAAACACTCAGCAATAAATCACCAGAGCCAGACTCATGTGTAACAGGACATTGGAATTAACAGGCTGAAACAATCTGTGATGGATTCTATTATGGGCATTTACTCAACTAATGTATTCACTTATGTTTGTGATTTTATTTACTTACTTTTTTTAAAGATTTTATTTATTTATCTTTAGAGGGGAAGGGAAGGAGAGAGGGAGAGAAACATTAATGTATGGTTGCCTTCCGTGCGTCCCCTGCTGGGAATTGGCCTGCAGGGAACTGGCCTGCAACCCAGGCATGTGCCCTGACTGGGAATCGAACCGCGATTGTCTGGTTTGCAGGTCCGTGCTCAATCCACTGAGCTACACCAGCCAGGGCTTGATTTTATTTACTTACTTTTCATTGTTGTGCATTTACAGTTGTCTCCATTTCCCCCCATTACTCTCCTCTTCCCTCCCCACCCCCACCTTCCACACTCAATCCCCCCCCACACCTGTTGTCTTTGTCCCTGGGTCCTTCATACATGTTCCTTCAGGACCCTTCCCCTTCTTTACCCCAGTCCTCCCTCCCACCTCCCCTTTGGTTACTGTCATTTGTTCTTAATTTCAATGTCACTGGTTATATTTTGTTTGCTTACTTCTTTTATTGATTGGGTTCCACTTATAGGTGAGATCATGTGGTATTTGTCTTTTACTGCCTGGCTTCTTTCACTTAGCATGGTGCTCTCCAGTTCCACCCATACTCTCACACATGGTAGGAGCTCCTTCCTTCTTTCTGCTGCATAGAATTCCATTGTGTAAATGGACCATAGTTTTTTGATCCACTCATTTACTGATGGGCCCTTAGGTTGTTTCCAATACTTGTATATTATAAATTGTGCTGCTATGAACATTGGGTGAGTAGATTTTTTAAAATTGGTGTTTCACATTTCCTAGGGTATAATCCCAGAGGTGGAATTGCTGGGTCAAAGGCCGTTCCATTTTTACTTTTCTGAGGAAATTCCACACTGTTTTCCACAGTGGTTGCACCAGTCTGCATTCCCACCAACAGAGCACTAGGGCTCCCTTTGCTCCACATCCTCTCCAACCCTTGTTGTTTGTTGATGTGTTAGTGATGGCCATTCCTAGAGGTGTGAAGTGGTGTCTCACTGTGGTTCTAATCAGCATCTCTCTGATCACTAGTGATGCTGAACATCCTGTCATATGTCTCTGGGCCCTCTGTATGTCTTCCCTAGAAAAATGTCTTTTCAGGTCCTTTGCTCACTTTTTAATTGGACTGTCTTCCTGGTATGGACTCCTGTGAGTTCTTCATATATTTTGCAGATCAAACCCTTGTCTGAGGTATCATTGAGAAATATATTTTCCTTACAGTTGGTTCTTTTTTCATTTTGTTGGTGCTTTGTTTATCCATGCAGAAGCTTTCTAATTTGATGAGACCCCCATTTGTTTATTCTCTCATTTATGTGCCTTGCTCTAGGGGACACATCGAGGATGCTGCTGCCTGTGGTACCTGAGATTTTCCTGCCCATGTTCTCCTCCAGGACTTTGATGGTGTCGAGATTTATATTTAAGTCTTTCATCCACCCTGAGTTTATTTTTGTGTGTGGTGTGTGTTGTGTGTTTTCCTAATGGTGAGCTTTTCTTCCATCCTCACCTGAAACTCACCTGGCCCTGATGCATTGCCGTTTCATACATCGCTACCTTCAATTTGTTCACAAGTTCCAGGGAGTTTTACACGTGTCTTAATTTTCTGCAAGTCTGAGTGAGAAATGCTGGCCTGTAGTTCACCCTGCTGATGACATTATATTTTTGTTTTGAGATATTGTAAAAAAAAATTACAGGTATTTCTATTATTTTCTAGAACAAAAAGAATTCACCAGTGAATCCATCTGACACTAAATAGGTTTTATGAGGAGACTTTTATCATGGATTTAATTTCTTCATGAGATACAGAGGCATGGATGCAGATTTTTTCTTCTCAGGTCACTCTTCATAAATTTAAAATAACATTAAATATTTGAGGCCAAGAGAATGGTTTTTGCTTTTATTTCAGATTTTTTATTTTATAAGATGTTTTGAACATGCCCAAATGAGGAAGACTAAACAACAGTACAGCCGATGGCACACACCCATTTCTGAGAGGTCACAATTCTTAACATTTTCATGTAATTCTTCTATTTTACTTTCTCGAGGATTCTAAGAGACTTCACATACAAACTGAAGTTCCTCCCTATTGCTTTGCTTTGAAATTAACAATGTGATTTCCAAGGAATCATAAATTTAAAATGTTAAACTGAAGTTTGATTATTGTCACAAACCCATTTACCTTTAGACATAAAACCCCAGGTTTGGGTCAGGAAGAAGGGAGAGATGAGGAGGAGGAAGAGGAGGGAGAGATGCTGGAGAAGAAGAGGAAGAAGAAGAGGAGGAGGAAGGTGAAAGAGAAGGCAGGAAGTAAGAAGAGGTAGAAATGCACACGCATCTAATTTAGTCATAAACATGGACAACACAAGAAGAAACCAGCAGCGAGTGGACGATCGTGTTGACGCAGCCCAGGGATTGGTCGTGAGGAACCGGACTGAGGCTCAGAACAGGCCGCCCCCAGCAGAGAAGTTCACTGTCAGACATCAGATCTGGAGAGACACAGCCCGGCTGGAACATGACGATCCTCCCTCCTGCTCAGAGGTGGACCCCGAGGAACAGGGCTGAACAATCTCCAGCATCCAGGTCCCCGAGCGTCCCTGCCCTCGTTGTGGGAGCCGGGATGTCAGACCTCAGTGCAGAGATGCAGGCAGGAGGTGCAGGCTACAGGTGGGGGCTGGGCTTCTGGGGGCAGTAGGGCTGGCAGAAGTCCAAGTGCACACACTGGGGGTCGTCATGTGCTCACTCAGTAAAAGCCAGAAGACCAGTACCTTCCACAGCAGCAGGGGCGCCAGCAGCCACACCCACAGCCTCTGTAGCCACAGCCGTAGCCCAGGCCACCAAAGCCACCGTAGCCATAGCCTAGGCCACCAAAGCCGCCATAGCCATAGCCCAGGCCTCCATAGTAGCTGCCGTAGTAGCTCATGGTGTCAGTGGGGTGAGTGTGTCTGCTGCTCAAGACAGGATCCTGAGTGTATCTGTCAGCAAGTGTGCAGGGGCACTTATATACCCTGTGCAGAGCGTGCGGTTGAACACGTGCCTCCTTCACTGCGTCTTTTGGGGCCATCTCAGCTGATGCAATCCCAGCATCTGAGGGTGACGTCTCCAGTCTCATTAAAGTGTCTCTGCTCACACCGGTGCCCTTAAACGTATCGCATCTCTTTTATGAGAAGAATTTGCTGCATCTTCAAAGCCTGGACATACCAGGCTGCTGGTGTTCCTCCTGGCTGAGCGCATTACCTAACACGCCGGCACATTTGAGAGCTGAGTTTTAAAACTGAGTATTGCCTCACCTGTGGGTTTACTTGTGTTGTTGTGCCGCACTGAGGGGTAAATGAACAGGCCGCCCAAATCCAGGTGAGAATGAATCCTGTGATTTCAAAGGCACCCGACACTTCTGGGTGTGGCTGCTTTTCACAGCCCAGACCTGGGAGAGGCTGAAGGCCCCCACCCGCCCCCTGTTAACGCGCAGACAGAACTTCGGGAGGAAACGCGGAAATACAACCGTCCTTTTCTGTTATTCAGTAACATTGTCAATCACCAACAATATCCTCTTTTTGATTTTACATACTAGCTTGGAAAATAAAAAGTATTCGGACCAATATCATGGGGTGATCAAGTTCAGATCTGAAAGGCAGGTTACAGTGATCAAGCACCTATTTTAAAACAACCTACAAACTGTTCCAAACCCTGTTCCCACATCCTCAGTCCTGGCTGGCACATGCCCTGTTCACCACGTGCGCCACCAAAAATGCAGAGCACACTGCTCCCCGTGGTCCCGAGGGCCCAGTCCTGCCCCCCACTCAGGACCCGGAGACCAGCCCTGGAATTCAGTCTGTTCCCACGTGTCCCAGGGACCCTCCCGCCCTCACAGGCTGGGGACAAGGTCTGGCAGAGAACCAGCTGTACTTTCGGCCTCGAGGGCTTCTCTGTCACCCCTGCGGACACACAGTTGCATCCGCCTCCCCTCCCACCACAGTCCTGCCACCTCCGCGTCCTCTTCCCCTGTTGTGTGCTCATTTGCTGCTTTCCAAAAATAGTGAACTAGTCTACTCAAATATTAAATGTTCACCTGGATCTTCGATGTCGAAGTGTATGTCATCTCCCGGGGCGGGCTCACCTGGGCGCCCGGACCTCCGGGGCCGCGCTCTCCCGAGAGAGCAAAGCACCATCCAGGCCGTGAGGCTGCGATGCAGGACCTGCCCTGCACTGGGCAGAGGCCCCCAGAGCAGTGATTTCCGGTCGCGATGGTCCGGTCTCTCTGCGGCACCGCGGGAGGGGCGAACGCCTTATCCAAGGAGCTCTGGCCGCTGTTCTTCCTGGAGCCTTCCCTGTGCTCAGGGAGACAGGCTGTCCGCCATTAAAACACACGACGTTTTTTGTCGGGATCCAGCAGACTAAGAATTCAGGGGTGGGCAAAAGTAGGTCGACAGTAATAACCATCAAGAATGTAGCAACTCATAACTAATGATTCCAGAATGAACCGTGTTCTGCATACTCTCAACTGAAGACCTGCTCTTGCCCTGGTGATTAGTTGCCGGGTGGACTCATGTGCTTGCCTGCCCTGGGCAGTGCAGAGCTGACCCACAGGAGCCCAGGGATGACCCCCAGGGTCTGCCCCTTCCCCCTCCCCTGGAGCTGGCTGGAAAAATCTGTTCTTAGATTTATCGACCAAGCCTGAGTCTTTAAAATCCACCCTAAGTTTTAATGGCACTTAATGATTTTTTGGACCATAAGACGCACCTAGATTTTAGAGGAGAAAAATAGGGCAAATATTTTTGAAGCAAAAAAAGTGTTAGATGCACCCCCTTTGCTCCCGAATTCGAGGGACAGTGCCTCTTAAAGTCTGAAAAATACCAGTAAATTTCACACTGTTTATTAGTTCCTTTTTTTCTGGTCCTGCTAAGCTAGAAATTCATAAATGAAAGATTCTAAATAACCTCGAGCACTGCTCTGCAAAGCCAGGGGATGAACACAAGGGCAGGAGGATCCTTGGTGCTCGGCGCTGATGTCCCCGGGGTGTGGGGACAGACCCACAACCAAACTGCAGCCCTGTCTGTCAAGGAGGAATCTGGGTGGGATACACAGTGAATGGGGCCACAACGTCATTAAACAAATAGACAACTAAAGCCACGGTGCCACTTCAACAAAGGCTAATTTGTTGCAAAGGGAAAAGAAAACGTGCCCGTGGTGACAGTGCAGAGTGAGGGACCCGGAGACGCAGCACCGAGCAGACGTGAGACCACAGGTGGTCTGGAGACCCACGATGCTGAAGGTGTTGATCCGGGCTCCGCCCCGCTCACATTGCTTCTTGCAGATTCTGGATAATTTGACTAATCGTCTCAGAGCCTCAGACCAGGGGCTCCCAGGATGGGGTTTCAGTGCAAACCGGAGAATCTGCCTTCTGCACGGGGCTGCGGAGCAGACTGACACCCACCCTCACACTGAAGGCAGGGGTCTGCCTGGTGCCAAGCACCCAACAAAAAAGCATCTGACTTTCAGCCACAACAAGAATGGAAACATTCATGTTATTTATGAAAAGCCAAAAGGCAAGAAAAAACACTCAGCAATAAATCACCAGAGCCAGACTCAGGTGTAACAGGACATTGGAATTAACAGGCTGAAACAATCTGTAGATGGATTCTGTTTTGGATATTTACTCACTAATCTATTAACTTATGTTTGTGATTTTATTTACTTACTTTTCATTGTTGTGCATTTACAGTTGTCTCCATTTCCCCCCATTACTCTCCTCTTCCCTCCCCACCCCCACCTTCCACACTCGACCCCCCACACACACCTGTTGTCTGTGTCCCTGGGTCCTTCATACATGTTCCTTCAGGACCCTTCCCCTTCTTTGCCCCAGTCCTTCCTCCCACCTCCCCTGTGGTTACTGTCATTTGTTCTTAATTTCAAAGTCACTGGTTGTATTTTGTTTCCTTGTTTGTTTTGTTGATTGGGTTCCACTTATAGGTGAGATCATGTGGTATTTGTCTTTTACTGCCTGGCTTCTTTCACTTAGCAGGGTGCTCTCCAGTTCCACCCATACTCTCACACATGGTAGGAGCTCCTTCCTTCTTTCTGCTGCATAGAATTCCATTGTGTAAATGGACCATAGTTTTATGATCCACTCATTTACTGATGGGCAATTAGGTTGCTTCCAGCACTTGGCTATTGTGAATTGTGCTGCTATGAACATTGGGTGCATAGATTTGTAGGACTGGTGTTTCTCATTTCCTAAGGTATAATCCCAGAGGTGGAATTATTGGGTCAGAAGGCCGTTCCTTTTTTTACTTTTCTGAGGAAATTCCACACTGTTTTCCACAGTGGTTGTACCAGTCTGCATTCCCACCAACAGAGCACTAGGGCTCCCTTTGCTCCACATCCTCTCCAACCCTTGTTGTTTGTTGATGTGTTAGTGATGGCCATTCCTAGAGGTGTGAAGTGGTGTCTCACTGTGGTTCTAATCAGCATCTCTCTGATCACTAGTGATGCTGAACATCCTGTCATATGTCTCTGGGCCCTCTGTATGTCTTCCTTAGCAAAATGTCTTTTCAGGTCCTTTGCCCACTTTTTAATTAGACTGTCTTCCTGGTGTGGAGTCCTGTGAGTTCTTCATATATTTTGCAGATCAAACCCTTGTTTGAGGTATCATTGAGAAATGTATTTTCCCATAAGGTTGGTTCTTTTTTCATTTTGTTGGTGCTTTGTTTATCCATGCAGAAGCTTTCTAATTTGATGAGACCCCATTTGTTTATTCTCTCATTTATGTGCCTTGCTCTAGGGGACATATCAGTGAGGATGCTGCTGCCTGTGGTACCTGAGATTTTCCTGCCTATGTTCTCCTCCAGGACTTTGATGGTGTCGAGATTTATATTTAACTCTTTCATCCATCCTGAGTTTATTTTTGTGTGTGGTGTGTTTGTGTGTTTCCCTAATGGTGAGCTTTTCTTCCATCCTCACCTGAAACTCACCTGGCCCTGATGCATTGCCGTTTCATACATCGCTACCTTTAATTTGTTCACAAGTTCCAGGGAGTTTTACACGTGTCTTAATTTTCTGCAAGTCTGAGTGAGAAATGCTGGCCTGTAGTTCTCCCTGCTGATGACATTATATTTTTTTTTGAAATATTGCAAAAAAATTACAGGTGATTTTATTATTATCTGGAATAGAAAGAATTCACCAGTGAAACCACCTGACCTTAAACAGGATTTCTGAGACTTTTATCATGGATTTAATTTCTTCATGAGATACACAATGATGGATGCAGATTTTTTTCTTCTCAGGTCACTCTTCATAAATTTAAAATAACAATAAATATTTGAGGCCAAGAAAATGGTTTTTGCTTTTATTTCAGTTTATATTTTTGACATATTTTGAACATGCCCAAATGAGGAAGACTAAACAACAGTACAGCGGATGGCACACACCCATTTCCAAGAAGTTACAATGCTTAACATTTTCATATAATTCTTGTACTTTATTTTCTCAAGCGTTGTAAAAGAATTCACATGCAACCAGAAGTTCCTCCTTACTGCTTTGATTTGAAATTAACAATGTGATTTTCAAGGAATCATAAATTAAGAACGTTAAACTGAAGAAGTTTGATTATCATCACAGAGCCGTTTACCTTTAGACATAAAACCCCTTATTTGGGTCGAGAAGAAAGAGATAAGGAGGAGAAAGAGAAGGGAGAGGTGCTGGAGAAGAAGAGGAAGAGGAGGAGGAGGAAGGCGAAAGAGAAGGCAGGAAGTAAGAAGAGGTAGAAATGCACACGCATCTAATTTATTGATAAACATGGACAACACAAGAAGAAACCAGCGGCGAGTGGACGATCATGTTGACGCAGCCCAGGGATTGGTCCTGAGGAATGGGACTGAGGCTCAGAACAAGCTGCCCCCAGAGGAGAAGTTCACTGTCAGACAT